ACTGGAGTACTTACATGAATGTCCCTGGATTACGTGCGCATTAATTATAATGTGTATAAAAGTGTTAATTTTGTGAAAAAATTTGGAGGACGTTTACTTCCTCTTTCTGACGTTTAACATATTTTTGATGTTAAAACAAATATGCTATAGAAGAAACTTCAAATAAATTCTACAACTCATTTCAGACAATACCCGGACACGTCTAGAGTACAAGATCATTTTCCTTAGCAGTTACAAGTACTTCAGTGGTAAATTTAAGGGAATACTGAATTAGGAGGTTGATTTTAGGGGCAAGAAGCATGTCAACTTGCTAAATTCTATGATAAAATACTGAGTACGTAATCCTTACAACATACCTTTCTTTACAAAAGACGTCCTTGCCAGCCAGCCCTTTACCTAGACATGCAAAGTGAGGAGATGCTCTAAAGGCAAGAGTTTAGACCTTTTCCCCTAGTCTCCACGCTGTGGTGGAGCTTTCAAATTTACTTTTCCTACACTGAACTACTAAAGAAACTAAGGAGACCTTGAAGGTGCCCAAGTGCCAGAAAACAAACCACGCATGAGGCAGCCACCTTCAGAATTCTTCAACCTATTGTTGGAGGAAGAAACAATTACAAAGACTCCCTCCTAAAGGCTTTTTATATACTTTTAACATTCTATCATTTTAATAGAGTTCTGTGGCTTTTACCATTAAGAATGTTATTAACCAAAGTTACCTCAATAAGTTTAATTTAAACATTAATTTAAAAAACGATCTGTCCTGTGTCACTATTTGAGCAAATGGGACTAACCTTGAAAGTTTGATGGCAAACTTCCAACGATGGAAAGGAGCTTTATAGTTACTATGATTTCTTTAGGAAAGTAACCCGGAAAGACTTTATTATTACTTAAAAAGACATATCCACACACAGTTTGGCCCAGAAAACACATTTTTAAGGTCTATCCGATAGGAAGCACCAATGTGTAAGGATGTACCAGGATGTTAACTACAACACTGTTCATATGGTAGGAAAACCCTGGAAACCCAAAAACAGAGAAGAGATTGAAGAAACACCGGTATAGCTGTGGCAATTATAGCTATGGCTATTACCCCAAGACCCTACCCCTAAAACCTGGATATGAATTTATCTAGAGTAGCAGTTCTTGCACGTTAGATTATGTAGGAGCCTTAAAACAAATTCTGACTCCTGAGCCCAACTCCAGACTAGACTGAGTAAAAATCTCTGTGGATGAGACCTGGTAATCAATATTTTTAAAAGCACTGGATGATTTCAATATACAGACAAGGTTGTAGACCACCGGATGGCCATGGTACATTATTAAGTGAAAAAAGCAAGTTATAAAGTAATATGCATATTATCGCACATTATATTATGATAATTATAATAATCTACAAATACAGGTTTGTACGAGTTGAGATAAAGGTACAGAAAGGTATACTACAGATTATCGACATAGAAGAGACAGAAGTGACTATTAACAGTTTTTATCATCTTTGGAATATTTTCATTTTTAACATGAAATGATAAACATTATTAAAAACATGGTTATTAACAATAGGAAACAGTAAGTGAGCGATCTACGAGAACTCTGTACTATCCTTGAAACTTTTCTGTAAATCTAATTATTCTAAAATAATAAGCTTATTAAAAAAACATGATTACCAACATTAAAGATAAAAATTGCCCCCAATCTCATCACAAAGCTATATCTATTTTTGCATATTAACATCTAGCCTTTGACCCTGCCTGGCATTTATACTTACAAACGAGGATGCTTTGCATTCAGTGCTTCTTGACACTAATTGGATGATAAACCATTCGAATATCTACATTATCTTGAGAATCACATTTTCAAAGCTATCTAATAATCCATCATGTTGCTGTGCCATAATTTAGTAAATACATCCTCTACACATCAACATTTAGCCCATCCAGGTTTTGTTATAGATAGTACTATAATGAAATTATAGAATTTTTGTTTATTCTCTTGAAAAATTTGTAGTAGTAATTATTACTAGAAGTAGTCAATGCTATACAGTGTCAAATAACTTCCAAAAGTTATACAGACCATTTGTAATATTACCAGCATTTACATAACAGGTTCACAATTTTTCCACGACTGCACGGGACTGGATTTTGTTCTTTAGTTTACTAATGTAAAGCAGTCCTTCAAGGTGGCTTTCATTTCTGTTCTGCCCCTCCTTTTTGTTTCTTTTAAAAGAAAGAACTGGCACCAGCAGGAACAGGATGGGTTATACAAAAACAACATCTGTGTTCCAAGGTTGGTGCAAGAAGAGGAGCTAAGTGCAGAAGCCTTGGGAATATGGGACAAATCACTTAGGTGCACACTGCTTAACTACCTATAAATTCATACTCCTCTGGTCTGCTGGGACCTATCAGTTAACTGCATAATAGAGCTATGTGCAAACTAAACTGTGTGTCAAATGTTACCCTAGATAAATTAATAGCCGTAAAGACTGTTAAGAGGCTGGTCAAAGTACAGTAAACTGGATCTCACAAAAAGGTTAAAAATGCTCATTACTCTCAAGCTATCCTGTTATTCTTCCTGGCGGGGATGGGAGGGGACAAGAGTTCATGGGCAAGTGTATCCCAGAAGGACCTCTTCCACATTCCTGGTAAACAGGAAGGCAATTCTCCCAGCACTTGAACTTGTTTTCAAACATGAATATTCAAGACTTCGCCAAAAGGACTAAATAAGACTTGTACAATCAAAAAAGATTGTACAGGATTGTGTAAGACAGCAAATATAATGAATAAGCACATGTTCACTTGTGTGAAAGTCCAGTCTTGCAAAGGGCGTGGCGAACGGGCACTTATGGGATTCCTTCATTGGATGGGTGGTTTGAAACCTTTCCCAAACAGTTCCACCTCTCCTATTATGTTGTCTCAATTTTAAGCATCCTTATGTGTGTATGCATATGTACATATATATGTATATACATTTTCATTCGAGACTCATTCAAAGGTATCAAAATCTCACAATGCATTAAGGAAACAGACAAAGGTAGTCAGGTTCTCTTCTCAAAAAACCTCCAGAGCAGTTGATAAAGAGGCATCAGAAATCAGTGCAATCAGCCATGACAGATGTCCAAGCAGGCTACACTGAGGTACAAAGGAAAGAGCAGAACCAAAAGGAGCACAAACATATGTGAGAATTTCTTCATAAATTGTAAAGAGCTACAGGAATGTTTTTATTACTAATATATGTTAACCTCTCATTTTAAAAGAGATACATTAATAACTGTCTTGTCTATTTTTCTGTTTAAGAACACTTAAACAGAAAGCACTGTCATTAAAAGATTTACTTATGATTCTCAAAATAAATAATAAAAAAATAAAGAAAAGAAAAAAGGGATACAGGCCAGAGAGCATCCAAAATGGCTAATATTTGGGGAATGGTTAAGTGCAGCCTATTCATGGAAAATTTGTTATAAAAAATTGTACTTATAAAGAGCTCTTAAAGATGGGGGAAACGCATATATGTTAAGTGAAGAAACAGTATGCCCCAATTATATTTTAAAATGTGAAAAATGAAGGAAGAAAATATGCCCAAATACCATCAGTGAATCCTTCTGGTTGATGAGATTACGGGTAACTGTTTTCCTCCTCAACCTTGCATAGAACTTTACAAACTTTCTGAAAATATGTATGTACTTTGATCAGTGAGAAACAAAAACCAGATAAGCAACTTTTTCTTTATTCCACTTTAGACAGTATTTAAGTTGGCACCAATTTACATACTTAAGGTTGAAGATGTTAATATATATTCAAAGAATTATGCAAATAGCACTAAGACGTCAGGAACTGTACCACTTGAACAAATCTGAGAACACGTATTCACACGGGAGGACCACTAAGGCCTCATCTGACTCTAAGACTGGGATTTCTGTAATCTCAGCTCACCTGCCCACCTTGCTGCTCTAGCACAGCATCTTGTTGTTTCTTCATATCATAAATCACTAAATAACTGCTTATTTGCCATTTCTGCCCCTTATCCCCCAACAGAGTAGAGGCTCTAAGAGAGAAAGGCTTTATCCGCTTTTCGCCTGACTGTATGTCCATCATCTTGTAGCCAGTGCCTGGCACACAGTTGAAGTTCATTAAACATTTGTTAAATAAATGTACCCAAGTCACCTGGCATCACTCACTATTCCCAATCCTCTCCCCCAATGGTATCCCCCCAGTGTCACTAATTTCTCCTGCACTTCCATCTCCACAATACGACCTATCCCCTAAAGCATTAATTAACATGAAAACCAAAGAAAAGAATTCAGAGAAGTAGAGGATAATCAACTATTCTCTAGGCAAAAAGCACCGCATCTGCTCTATGAGTTCATGGTCTCACTGAAGCAGAGCTCGGGATCATGGGGAGCACTGTTTTTCATAGCCGCTTCTCCATTAATCCTAAACCCCTCCCTCACCCCATGCCCCACATTACCATCTCCATTTTAAAGATGAAGAACCTGAGGCTAGGCAAAATGAAGCGAGCTCACCTCCAGTAACCCAGCTCCTGAGTGGTAAGCGACCAAAAACTGCAGCAGAGAGCAGAGCAGAAGCAGCGCACTCGAATGCATGTGAACACCAGACAGAATGGGCTCCAAGTTTTTGGTCCCAAGGATCTTTTTATACTCTTAAAATTTATGTAGGATCCCAACGTGTGGGGTTTTGAGCATTATGGCTATTGATATTTTTCATATTGGAAATTAAAACAAATTCTTAAAATATCTGTTTTCAATAAATTATTCATTTACTAGCAATGAACCCACTATGTGCCAACATTTTTTTATGAAAAAATATTTTTCAAAACAAAAAAAAATTTCGTGGGAAGAGGAAATGTTTTACATTTCTGTAAATCTTTTAAATGTCTGACTTAACAGAAGACAGCTGGATTCACCTATCTCCCTCTGCATTCAAGGTGTCGCAGTATTTTGTTCGAGAGGAAGAAAATCTACCTCTCGCAGATGTGTAGTTGGAAATGGGATAAGTATTTTAATGACTTTAGCAGATAATCATGGATAATCCTCTTTGACACTACATCAGAACTTGACAAGTATGGCTTCTTAAAAGTTCACTGCAAATGGTACAACTACTTTAGAAAAGTCTGGCAGTTCCTCAAGACGTTAAACATAGAGTCAGCGTATGGCCCATCAATTCCACTCCTAGGACCAAACCCAAGAGAACTGAAAACATATCTCCAAACAAAACCTTGTACACCAATGTTCATAGAATAGCATTTGGCTATTCATAATAGCCAAAGGTGGAAACAACCTAAGTGTCCATCAACTGAGAAATGGAAAAATAAAATGTGGTAGATGCATACAATAGAATATTATTCAGACATAAAAATGAAGTACTCTCTTCCCATAAGCGGCCTCAGGTAACCTCTGAAAATGGTTTGCTATTCACTTGACCCAGAAAACCCCACAAAATCATGCAAATCGAGAGGTTCAAATCTTCATGTTCACGTTATGAACACTAGAACACTCGTGAAACTGCCCAGGCCATCAAGGGTATGCATATCCGAAAAGCCACCAAGTATCTGAAAGATGTCACTTTAAAGCAGCGATGTGTGCCATTCCATCTTTACAATGGTAGAGTTGGTAGGTGTACTCAGGCCAAACAATGGGGCTGGACACAGGGTCGGTGGCTTAAAAAGAGTGCTGAATTCTTGCTGCAATGCTTAAAAATGCAGAGTAACGCAGAACTTAAGGGTTTAGATGTAGATTCTCTGGTAATTGAGCACATCCGGGTGAACAAAGCTGCCAAGATGCGGTGCAGAACTTAACAGAGCTCATGGGCGGATTAACCCCTCCATGAGCAACCCCTGACACACTGAGATGATCCTCACTGAAAAAGAGCAAATTGTTTCTAAACCAGAAGAGGAGGTTGCACAGAACAAAAAGATATCCCAGAAGAAACTGAAGAAACAAAAACTTATGGCCTGGGAGTAAATTTAGCATCAAATAAATGCTAATAAAAGTTAAAAAAAAAAATGAAGTATTAACACATGCTGTAACATGAATGAAACCTGAAAACACTGGCCTCTAACTGAAAGAAGACACAGAAGACCACATATTGTATAGTTCCATTTATATAAAATGTCCATCGAGACAGACAAGGTTGACTATTAGTTGCCAAGGGCTGACTGGCGGGGATAGAAAAATTATAGCTAAAGTGTTCCTTGGGCTATGGGGAACTCAGAGCAAGAGAAATTTACAAAACAAAAATTCTGCCAACAGTTCTGGGGAAATCACAATCATCAACCCCCCCCCTCAAAAAAAAAAAAGATTATAGTCATAAGTCACAGGTTTTTGAAAAAGACATACTGAAAAAAAATGAACAATGTGCACTGGAATCCTTAAAAGGTGGTGGTAGAGGTCACAGAGTGGAGAGCATCAGCATCTGACTCAAGATATGAAAAATTAGAAGTGTGCCAGACTGAGAAGAAAGGAAAAGTCATCCCAATTCAAAAGACTCACTCGTTTGTTCCAATATTCGACTGCCCATGAAGTACCTGGAAGAATTCTAGGGGCTGGAATTCAATAAACAACACAGTTTTCTGTTCTCAAGAAAATTACATTCTAGGAGAGAGAGAGGAAACAGATAAACAAGTAAATGAACAAGAAATATTCAGTTCCTACCACAAAGAAAATAAAACAGGTATCTGGGCAAGAAACTGAAGTAACTTGAATTGTGTCACCGAGTGTGGCCTGAGGCAGTAACAGTTAGCCTGACCTGAAGTGACAGAAAATAGTCACCCTGATCCTGGAACAGTCTGGAGTTCATCTGAAGGCAGTAGGAACCCAGAGAAGAATTATACACGGGAGAGGGTCATGACTGACTTTTTAAAAAGTATCACCCTGCTGGGTAGAGAATTGACTGTAGAACAAGGATACAAGGACCTGTTGGAGGTGTGGTCCAGATAAGAGATGAAAGTAGGTTGACTTAGGGTGGCAGCAGTGACAACTGGGAGACATGAACTGATTCAGAATACACTGTGGAGACAGAAGATATAAGATTCTGGAGTGTTCAGGACAGGTTTAGGCTGGAGTTATGAATTGGGATCCCAAGAGCATACAGCTGGTACTTAACCAATGATACCAGAGATCACCTGGGTCAGGCTGGGAGGAAGGCAGACGTCTGAGACCTGGCTCACAACATTCAGAGGTCCACCAGAGAAAGGACAACACGTGACCATGAGACGTTGTCTGTGAGGTGGCAGAAAACACAAGTCCTGGCGGCACTTAGTTCACATGAATGTCACCAACACATCCCAGTCAATAAAAAAGGCTTACATCACCCAGCCTCTCTGTTTGCCTAAGAGGTAAGATAGAGTTAGTTCCCTATCTTTCCTTTTGGCAGCTCCCCTGCCAATTTGCTAAAACAAGGATGACCATTTACTTTCTTTTCTGTTCATTGATATATTTTATTTACAGACCTGACCCTAAAGGGTAAAAAAGGGAGCTTTTAATAAATACAAGACAATAGAATAGCATACACCAGGGTTGTCCTGGGGTGTCTGTCCTTGAGTATGTCCACACGTATGTCCATCTTTTCTAAAAAACCCAAACGCTCAAGCTGGACTAACTACTGCTTTTGGGTAACGTTTCCCACCAAACCACTGTCTTTTCTCTCGAGTTCTCACACAGAAGAAACACTAAGGGCGTGAGGAAGTGAAAAGAAAATTCCACGTGCAACCAAGTTACGCACGGAAAGGGCACCTCGTGGGTCCTACCGAGTCTCAGGTGGACCACTGCGCCCCTCAACTACACCAAGGCCAGCGCCGGCCTCGGAGCTCGGCTGCTTACTGACCCAACCATCTCCGCCTCTGGCGTCTCGCTTTCCCGGCTGTCTAACAGGGACACCGGCCCCCAAGAATGATGCAGCGAGGCTAAAGTGAGAAATGCACACCCCGACTCAGCACGGGACCTGGCAGGTAGAAAGCACGTAAGGGCAGTGAGGGTAATAACCACCACAGCGTAAGGGACCACGGCACTGGGTTCGATTTCCAGCTCTGCCCCAGGCCCAGGCGCGCCTTCTCGCCAAGGCACCAACGAAAAGGGGCACCTCCGCCCGTCCTCAGTCCCGGGACAGCAGTGCCCACCTGTCCGGACACAGCGGCAGCGCGGCTGCAGTGGCAACTCCCCCACCCCGGGGGAAGCCGGCTAGCCAGGAGAGCTGCCTGAGGCTCCCGGAGCAAACGCGGGACGGCGGGGCGGGCGGCCACTGACCTGCTTGAAGGTGCTGGTGAGGAAGTAGACGAGCGAGAGCCCGAAGACCAGGGCGAGCACCCACCTCTTCCGCAGGAGCCGGCGCCACACGATGGCCGCCAGGTTCACCATGCCGGCACGCACGCGGGGCGCGGCGGCCGGGGCGCGGAGCGGGACAGGCCCGGGACCCGGGCTGCATGGCCCCTACGCGGCCGGCAGCCGCATCCCTGACGCCGGGAGCCGGCCCCGCGGCCCTCAGCCCAACCAGCTCCCGTCAGCCAATCCGCGCCACGTGACCGCGCTCTAGGTCCCGCCTCCACTCCCCCTGCGTCACCGGCCGACCTCGCTCGGCCTCATCGCCATTGGTCCCTGAGGAGAGACGGCTTTCTATTGGCTGAGGCCCGGGAAAGGGGCGGGCAATCATGTGCTTGCGGGTGTAGTTGTGCCCGGATCTTAGCGCATGGCCAGTCAACTGGAGAAAGAATCCTGCGAGAGGCCGGAAGCACTCGGTAGTCACGTGCTCCCGGGGCTGCTCGAGTAATGATTGGCTTGGAAGGACGTGAATGATGCCGCTGTGATTGCTGAATTGTCTCTGCAGGTAAAAACAGAACGCGATTTTCTTTTTCCTGGGAATAGTCCATTTAGTCTCCTGCCCTTGCAGTCCCTAGGGCGTTTTGAGCTGAACGTTGGCTGCAGGAATGAAAAATGCTCGCGGCATCCTACCCAGAGTGCACCTGCCTCCTTTCAATGCAAGTATTGCAAGAGATGCTCTCTTGCGTGCGTTTCGGTGCAGTCATGTATAAGGACCCGGAGACTCAACTTAAAACATAGCATGCATTGAAAAGTATCTGTGTAATTCTTCATGGGTATGTAGTCCATGCATAGAGCAGAGGGTTAAAAGCCGTTTCAGTCATTCAAGTGCATCCCATGTGCAAATATTTATTCCAGAATTCAACATTGGAATAATTATTTACGGCCTGCATTCAACAAAGAATCTAAAGCCCCTTCAAAAGCAAGCATCTGAAAGTAGAATCTTGACCATTTAATTTAGGAGGCTGTGTCAAATTTGTGGATGGAAGCTTTGGGATACTGTATTTTATTTTCCCCAAGTATCGCAGGTAATGGGGAGTCATTGTTTGGATTGCATTAAGCTGGCATGCAAGTTCTTGAGAAATGTTTAGATAAAAAGCTTTCCTTCATATATGAAGATGCTGCTGCTGACTCATTTCTTAGCTGATTTTCCAAAAGAGAAAGAAGGCTTAGCCAGTGGGTTTTCTCTTTAATCAATGACCCCAGTAACACCAATGCTGACCCCTGAAGAAGGCTGGTCAGGATTAGGAAGTCATTCAACAACCAGTTATGGTGCCCTGAACTAAAAGAGTCTCAGATATCATATTTGGTCCTCATAAAAAGGGTATTCAAGGAGGCTAAACTTATTTATGGAAAGTCTCTGGCCTTCATTTCTTCTTTAGGGTGAAAGGTCTGGAGGGAGCAAGGGATGTAGAAAAAGGTAACTGAGAGATCCAGAGTTTTACTTATTGAACAAACACATGAGTGCTACTCTGTGCCAGGCACAGTTTTAGATACTGAGGTAGAGGGACAAAGCAGGCCGAAGGCTCTCTGCTTTTGTGGCATTTACCTTCTAAAGAAGGACACATCATAAATAAGCAAACCTGTAAATAAATAAGTGCTCTGAAGAAAGTAAAACAGGGCAGTGTTATGGTGAGTCAGGAGGGCGAAAGGAGAAGGCCTTTTGGAGGAAGTGACGTTTGATCTGAAGGAGCTAGCAAGAAGGAAAAGAATTCCAGGGAGAAGGAACGGCAGGTTCAAAGTCCCTGAGACAGGGACAGCTGGTATGTTTGCAGAACAGAAAGGCTAGTGTGGCTGGAGGGGAGTGGTTAAAGGCAGAGGGGAGGGAAATAAGGTGGGAAACAGGTGAGGTGCATCAGGTAGAACCTGTAGGGTATGAACAGATTGAATTTTCTTCTGATTGCAATGCAAAGCTATTGGGGGCTCTAAAACATATGTTCTGTATTCCCCAATTAGGACTCAGTTTGACAATAGGACAAAATACATTGAGATCATGACCATCCTCAGGAGTCCTAACGAGAGATCGATGAGAGGGAATCATATACTTATAGCTACCCATGATGTCCCAAGACTTATTCTCAGGTTCAAGGCACCCCATGGACTATTCATGTAAGTGTTCTGTTCCATCCAGGGTTTGGAGTCTCAAACTCCCTTGACCTTTGCATCCCTCTGGGGAGGAAGAGGAGCGGGAGGCCTGCTTTCTCTGGAATCCAGTGGTCACATCCCCATCAGGAGCCCTGAATGCTCACCTCAGGTGTCGTCAACATGGAGTTCTGAAGTCCATGTGGCTCCTCACAGTGAACAAGGTGACATGTCCACATGAAAGTTCACATTTTCATTACCACTTTATTCAATGTGAGGGGTGGAAAGCAGCTTTGGGTGAAGCCACTCCACCCCCACCCATTCAACAGATGAGGAATCTGAGGCCACGGAGAGGTTACTGATTTGTCCAGAGTCACACAGCAAATTAGGGTCTATATCTGTCCAGAATCCACGTCTCCCTCTGCCAGTTCCTGCTCACATCACCACACTACTTTCTCTTCTCCCGGGAGAACTTCCTCTACCTCTGGGTCTCAACATCTGTATCTGTGAAATGGGGAGATGACACTTTCTTTACTCAGTATTGTTGAATGACATAACAGATGGAAAGAGGGTTTGGAAAATGTCAGCTCTAGAGATGTGATATATGAGTAGTCCTTATTTATGGTTGCCATGGCAATCTGACAGGCAGCGTGAAGGCTGGGAGAGTCTGGCTCATGCCATGTGTTGGCTTTCAGGTCTTAAGGAAAATGCAGAGACGCCACAGCAGTAACACGGATAACGTTCCACCTGAAAGGTAGGCATCCCCTGGTTTCTTTCTATCTGGGGACTCTGGGCTTCGGGTGGTCAGGGGTAACCCAAAACTGGATTGAATACCTGCCTCTCAGGGTTTCTTGTTAGAGGAACAAAGGAGATCTGATTGGAAACTGCTTTGCACAGTGAGGGCATATACTACTCAATACATAACAGCTGGCATTGCTCTTATGGTAAGTCTCAAAGCCTTTGTGACAGGTGATCCACTTGATTCATTACCTCAATGATTGTACCCACAGGATTTTAATTTATAGAGGTGACTGAGTGACAACATGGAAAGGCTAATGCCATTGAAAGATCTTTATTACTTACATTTCCCGAGAGAAAGGGGCATGTCACACGACATAGGGCCACATGGGGAAGCACCAGGGTCAGTGAGGAGGCAGAAAGAAGCAAAGAGAAAGCATAGGCCACAGCTTTTACTGCTTTCTGCACAAATCAAGGCAGGGGAAACAGCTTAGTGTTGTCTAGTTTGAGTAATGTCAGTGGGCTCTGGGCTGGTCTCTGGTTGTCTGGTGCCTGGTCCTGAGTGATTTGGTGCAGGAGAAATATTGGCTGGATGTGTGAGAATCAGATGAAAGAGGTGGTTGGGAATATGGGCTCTGGATCACAGGGAAGATGTAAACAACTTTGGCTATTAGTTTGGCCCTGTAATTAGTGGATGCCAAATAGACAAATGCAGAATCTAAGAAAACACAGTTAAAACACTCATGAGCTAGAATTTCTCTCGTTAAGCCCAAGAGAGAACACACCATGGGACCTGTTCTCAGGTTGTGACAGTCTCCCTGCCCCAGACACCCCTCACCCCCCACTCTGCTGGCACATACATCCAAGGAGCAGGCAGCCAAGCGTTTCCTCCTCCATATCCTATTCCCTTGCAATTCTGAATCACAGTGTACCCACCACTTCTAGCTTTGGGACTGAGTTTTGCATCGATCCTGCCTGTTCTGCAGGGAAGGGCTCTGGCCTTAAAAATAAGGGCCACCATGTATTGCTACCTACTTACTCTGTGCCACTAATGAGGTTAGGATTATTTTTAACCACAATTTTTATAAGTGAGGAAACTGAGGCTCAGAGAAGGGAAGTAAAGTCACACAGCCAGGAAGTGGCAAGGCTGAGATTCGGACCCCAGTCCCTTTGCCCCCCAGAGTCTGTGCTCTGAGCCAGCACATTTCGTCTGCCTCCTATCTGGGTGGACCCATTCCTCTCCTGGGCTGCCTCCTACTCTAGCCGTTAAGTGGTTAAGTTGGAAGCGCAGCCTCTGCCTCCCCAAGGACTATTCTTGCCCATTTAGGCTGAAATCTCCATTGGATGCTGGGACCTGGGGAAGGGAGGCCAGCTATAAAAAGCCCTGTGGTGGATTGAGTCTTCCCTGGTTGTACTGGAGGCCCCCTGAGCCCAGTGAACTCAGAGTGCTGGTGAACTTAAGGGGACCAGGAAGGCTTTCCAGGGCCTCGTGGGGCAGAGAGGATGGCCCCCATGTGGGCCAACATGGGCACCTGCCAGGACTCCTTCTTTCTTAGCTCAGCTCCTTGAAGCAGAAAAACCTCGAGGCCCCTTGAGGATCATAGCCATGGTGTCAGTTGTTATTGTCATCGTTAATATTGTCTTTATTATTCTCCCAAACGCCAGGAAGAAGGACCACACATTTCCTGGGATTTTGGAGGGAAGCAGGGATGGGCCATGTGATAGGGGAGGAGCTACCATCTTCCAGTTCCTTCCCATGCACCAGGTTTATGATAACTTACCCTCAAGTCAAGTTTGGGAAGCCAGAGCAACCAACCCCGAGATTTCGTCAGACCAGTATTTACCCTGCAGGGTTTCATAGGTGTTCTGTAAGCTATTAATAGATTTTCCACAGAAAAAAAAGAATCCCAGGGTGAAAGAAGTTTGGGAAACACTAGGTTTAAACAAAATTTCTTTCTTCAATTGTAGGTCTTCTCAGAACCTTTAGTATGCTCACTCATTCATTCTTTCAGACAGTGTTTCTTCTGCACGTTCTATGTGCCAGATGCATTGTGCTAGGTAGGAGAGATACAGTGGGGACAATCATGGTCTTTGACCTCATGGCACAGAGCCAATCTAAAGTACTGTTCTCAGTGCTGATTACACAATGGAATCACCTGGGGCTCTGAAGACAGATGCCAGGGCCCACTCCCAAAGATTTTGATTCGATTGATTAACACTGGGTCCCAGGCACCTGTATAATCACCCCAAGTGATTATAACCTGCAGCCAGGGTTGAGAGCCACAGGTGAGCAGTAAAATGATAACTTGTGGTCAGTCCCAAGCAGGTGAGGTTAGGATGCAGTAAGAACTAGGATCGAGAAGACTGTTATCTATGGGGTTAGGTCAGGCAGGGCAGGCTCCACCAAGCAAGAGATTTTAGTTGAAATCTGAGGGATGAGCATAGGTACCGAAGTGGGACAGGGTAGCGGTGACATCTGGTGAAGGGAACAGCCTGTGCAAAAGCCCCACGGTAGGAAGAACTTGCGTAGTTAGAGAGGGGCACACGGTAAGATTGGAGTTTGGGGCCAGATAATCCAGGGTGTCTGGCAAGTTCTTTGAGCCTCGGTCTCTATCTGTAAAATGGGAATACTATTACCTCCCCTATATAGGGTTTATCTGAAGCTGTGGGAAGGATTTTGGAATGAGAAGCTCTTTTATGGGATAGTGAAGTAACTGAATATGTTTGGTAAAATGCACCCTGGTCTCTGAATGGAGAATAGATCATACAGGGTCAAAAGTGAAAGCACTGTATAATTCCCCCGCAGCCTCCCTCCCACTGCCATTTTGTGCCTGGATAATAGCTAGGATACGTTTATTAAGCACCTACTGTGTGCCCTGGGTTGTAGGTCCAAAGGATGAATGGAACTCAGCTCTGGCTTTCACTAAGCTCATAATATATTTTGAGTGCCGTAAGGGACTGCAGAGGTACTTTGGGGGCCCTCCTGCAGGGTAAGAGGATGGAGGCTCTTTGCCCCTCCGCCTGACACATGCACATGAAGCACATCAGCTCTGCATGTATCTGTTGTGTAGACTGAGTTTCCACATCATGCTTGCATTCGAAGAGAGGACAAGCACAAGAGAAGAGAGATGGCATCCAGAACTCCAGGCATGGTGTTTGTGGGGAAAGTGCACCCAGTTCTGGGCTGACCGCAGGGGTTAACTCATGGCAATGGCCATGGAATCCTTCGGCTGATTCCAACACAAGAGGTCCCTGCTGGGAACTAGAACAGGCAGTTGGCCCTGGAGGTCTTTCCATAGGCACTGGAGAGAATAGTTCACATTTATTGAACACCTCCTAAATCCTCAGTCCATTGAAAAAGGTATTCTGAATTTGACCCCTCAGTAATTCAGTGCATGAATGGTGTTTAGGCCCATTTTTCAGAAGAGAAATGAATTGTTAAGGCCCCTGGGAAGGGTAGAGCTTGGTTCAAATGTGGGCTTCTCTATTAAGTCTTCTTCCCATTACTGTTTGCTGCCCTCCAAAAACCAGCTGTGACCAAGGCTGGACCCTTCTGGGAACTGGGAATCATTGAACTTGAAGATTACTGAGCCAGGGCCCCTGGGTCCCTGAGGTTATTCTAAAATCATAGAACTCTGCTTCTTTTTCATTAAAGTATAGCAGTCAAGAAAGTGAGCTCTAGAGTTAGTCTGCTTGGGTCTGTGTACCCCTTGCTCCATCCCTTACGAGCTGTGTAACTCTGGAAAAGTTACTCCCTCTGTCTGTGCCTCAGTTTCTTGATCTGTCAAATGAGGGGGTATTATTAGTACTTACTTCACAGGGTTCATAAGAGTTAACCAATGGAAAGCACTTAGAAAACTGTTACATAGTAAAATTTCTTTATATATAATTTATTTATTTATCTATTAGTTATTTATTTTTTATTTATTTATTTTAATTTTTTTTGAATGCCTACAGCACCTAATATTCCTAGGTGGTCTCCCATCCAAGTATTAACCAGGCCTGACCCTGCTTAGCTTCCAAGATCAGACGAGATCGGGCATGTTCAGGGTGGCATGGCCATAGACAATAGTAAAATTTCAATAAAGATTGTTATCCTGTTGCTGTTATCATTTGTATGTGTTTGCTAGAGCTGCCCATGACAAGGTACCACAGACTGGAGGGCTTAAACAAAAGAAATCTATTTTCTCACAGTTCCGGAGGCTGGGAGTCCAAGATCAAAGTGTCGGCAGGCTTGGTTTCTTCTTAGGCCTCTCTCCTTGGCTTGCAGATGGCCAGCTTCTCCCTGTGTCTTCACACCACCTTCCCTGTATGTGTGCCAGTGTCCAAATTTCCTGTTACAAGGACATCAGTCATATTGGATTAGGGCCCACCTTAATGAACTCATTGTAACTTAGTCACCTCTGCAAAAACCCTGCCTCCAAATACAGTCACACTCCGAGGTCCTGAGGGTAGGGCTTCGACATAGGAGTTTGCGGGGAGGAATGGTACACAGTTCGGCTTATGACATTGATACTATGATTTGTCCTCCATCCTCGACTGTCTTTCTATCTGCCTGATGTTGTGGGGCTTTCTCTTCCCTTCTGGCCCAGAAATCGCAGCCAAGCGCTCAGCTCCGAGGCCAGCGTGGATGAAGGGGGCGTCTTTGAGAGTCTGAAGGCAGAAGCGGCCTCCCCGCCAGCGCTCTTCTCCAGCCTCTCCGGCCTCCCGGCAGGCAGCCTTCCGGCCACGCCGTTCCCGTCCAGCCTGGTGCTGGGGGCCTCGGCCAGTGGCGGGGACGTGTTCATCCAGATGCCCGCGTCCAGGGAGGAGAGCGGGGGCCGGGGCGAGGGGGGCGCCTACCACCACCGCCAGCCCCACCACTTCCACCACAGTGCGGGACACCGCGGGAGCTCGCTGCTGCAGCACGTGGGCGGGGACCACCGCGCGCACCCCGACGAGGCGGGCGACGAGCAGCCGGGCACTCCTGCCCCTGCCCTGTCCGAGCTGAAGGCTGTGGTCTGCTGGCTCCAGAAAGGGCTGCCCTTCATTCTGATCCTCCTGGCCAAACTGTGCTTCCAGCATAAGCTTGGTGAGTCCCAGGGACATAGGGGCTTCATCCCGAGTGTGTGTGGGGGGGGAGGGGGGGTTCTCCATCCATCCCAAGTGCCAACAGGAAGGCAAGCCACTCACCTCTGAACCTCAGTTTCCTCATCTGTCCAGTGCAGATTGTGGTAGAAGCTTCCTTAGCCAGTTGGTTGCTACGAAGGAGTAGAATGTAGTAAGTAAGAGTTCGGACTGCTTGGGTCTGAACCCAGGCTCTGCCCCTTCCTAGCTGTGTGATGTTGGGTGAGTTATTTAACCTCTCTGTACCTCTGGCCCATCATCCATAAAATGAGGGTTATAATAGGATACGCTTCATGAGATTGCAGTGAAGTTAAATGAGCTAATATATATAAAGCACTTAGGGCAGTACTCTGCAAATGTAGGTTATTATTTTCATCGTATTCATTAGTAATACCTGCAAAACACTTAACATAGAACCAGGCACAGAGCAAGTGCTCAATAAACATTACCAATTGTTAGTGTTATTAGGAACATGATTCATAAAGTGCTTATCCTAGAGCCTGACACACTTAACATTCAATAAATGGTGTCTGGCCCACTATTACTGTTACTTATTGTTATCAGATCAGGATGTTGATGTGCCCTGGAGAGTTTTAGGCTGTTTCAGTCCTGTAGGAGGAATCACGGTAGGAACTATCTCACGGCCAACTACATCTCATAAGACAATATTTAGAGGGATTAAGCTATCCTTCCTGTTTTATTTGCCCCCTTCTTGGTAAATGCTAACTGCCTCACATCACCCCACTTTCCTTGCTGGGGTGCTACCATGGAAGCCCCTCCTTTTCTAGTGCTAGAAACGGAAGCTGGCATGTTCCCCCTTACCCTGAATTCCAGCAAACTCCCAATTTAAATTTTATTCTCGAGGATGGTCATTTTCTTTTTCAGTTGGTAGGTTTATTTGTTTTTTGTTTTTTGTTTTGGTCTGTTTTTGTTTTTGTTTTTGTTTTTTTAATCGAGGAGGAGAATAGAAGAAAGGCTTGTGGGGTTACTAGTTTTTATCTTACGTATTTTCAATGAAGAAGTACATCTTTGACAAAGTAGATCTGGCAAAATACCTGGAGTACACATGCTATTAAAAAGTTAAAAGTGAGCTCCAAGCATGAGGGTCTGTGAACATCATGTGAAAGCAGAATCCTGTAAGGAAAAGTAGGGTTTGAAAATCCCCATTCAGGGAGAATTCCAAGGTTGTAGCTTGGCAAACAGTGGCAATTGCATGAATTGCAGAAGAAAGTTCAGTTCTGTTCCCCCTTCTTCCAGGGTCATGCTTTCCTGTCAGTAGGAATTTTTCCCCCCTCTTTAAATTTTCTTTATGGTGTTATGATCTTTTTCTGTGTATGCTTTTATCACAAATAACACTTCAGATCCATTTTGAAAGTAGAAATAATAGGTACCATTTACTAACTGCTAGAGATTGTGCACTATAAGCAATATCCTTCCATGAGATAAGTACTGTTAGTACCCTGTCCGTTTTATAGATGAGGAAACTGGGCCTCAGAGAGGTGCAGTGCCTAGCCTAAGCTCATACAGAGAAGAGGCGGCAGAGTCGAGATTTGAACCCAGGTCTTACCAGACTGCACAGCCTGTGCCTTTCACTGGTTCTATAAAATACCCGACAGTGGCCTTGGTTCCATCCGTAAGTCAGAGGCCTATATTCAGAGTAGTTCATGGGTCTTAGTGATGTACATGGCATCCCAAATCCCCCAGAAATGAGATTGCCTCTCTCCTCTGTGGTTAGACTCCAAGGGGACCAGGGATGTGTCTTTTTAACATTGCTCACAGTCCCAAGTAAGCCAGGGCCAGACCTGATGAGTCTAAGTGGGGGTGTTGGGCCCTCCTCTATCCCACAGGCATTGCTGTGTGCATTGGGATGGCCAGCACCTTTGCCTACGCCAACTCCACGCTCCGAGAACAAGTCTCTCTGAAGGTGAGTCACCTGGCAAATTAGTCTCCTATGGCTGCCGTAACAAATGGCCACAATCTTAGTGGCTTAAAACATCAATTTATTATCTTGTAGCCCTGTCTATCAGAAGTCTGAATTGGGTCTCAAGGTGGCAACAAGAATGTATTCCTTCTGGAGAGTTTCAAGGAGAATCTGTTTCCTTGCCTTTTCCAGGTTGTGGAGGTCACCTACATTCTCTGGCTCCTGGCCCCTTCCTCCTCTTCATGCCAACACCATTGCATCCCTGTGGCCATCCTTCCGTAGTCACATCTCCCTCTGACTCTCCTCCCTCTTCTACTTTTAGGGACCCTTGTGATGACATTGGGTCCACCTGGATAATCCACAAGTCTCTCCCCATCTCAGGGTCACCTGATAGCAATGGTAATTCCACCTGTAACCTTAATTCCCCTTTGTCATGTGACCTAACATATTCACAAGCTGCATCAATTAAGACAGGGACATCTTTGGGAGGCTATTCTTATGCCTGCCACCCCTGGGCAGATCCCCGGATGTGCCATCCTTCTCCCAAGCCCTTCTACCGGCAGCATCTCCCCCATGCGCCCCAGCCTAGTCCCTTTACCCTCCTGACATTCAACCAGTTAGCTCACTTCCAACCCATCCTCATGGTACAGGCCGTCCTCCTGGCACTACTCGGTGGCCATACAGCTTCACCACCATCATCCTAAATGCCCTCTTAATACTTGCTGAGCACTAAGCGTGCCCAGCACAGTGCTGGGCTCCTTGCACACTTCATCTTGCACATTTGTCCCAGCAACCTGGGAGAGAGGCAGAGCCATTCTCATTTCATTTTCCCAGTAGGAAACGGTAGCTCAGAAACACTAAGTTTTTTGCCTGAGGTCACACAGCCAGTGCAAGTGGTGGCATCAGGAGATAAACCCAGACGTTGAGTCCACAGGCTCTGCTCATCCCAAATTCAAATCCCAGCTCCTCCACCTACGTCCAACCCTTAGGCAGGTTACCTCGGTGATCTCAGCTTCAGATGCCACCTCTGGAAAAGGAACTGTGCACACCAACTTCATATACCCATAGAATGGATGAAATGAGATAGTGCAGAGAAGGTGTTTAGCACAGTGCCAGGCATATAGGTAACATGTAATTGAGCTATTTAATAAGCCTATGCTTTGTGCTGTATATATGATCCCATAATAGCCACCATCCTCTCTGATCCTTTTTTTGGCATCATCTGATTTCTCAAAAGCACCTGGACCTCTGTGAGGCGTGAAGGGCAGCTCAGTCTCCATTGAGGACATGAGCCCACTGAGGTCCAGAGTTGGCCATGGAGCCAGAGGTTCTTCCTGACCCTTAGTCTCATCTTCTTCATACAAACCCCTTTCTGCTATTAGAACAACAGATCCATCTCCACCATAATGGGACACTTTTTGGCTGTCTCTGAAATGTGCCTTGACTTGAGCTTTAGGGGGTAAAAAGATGCCTTTATCTGTGGGCAGGCTTCTCGGGGTCCTGAACCCTATGAATTGAAGACACAGGTATTGTTTTGCCTGCCTGCACATATTTTCTGTGAAAGAGTCTGCATGACCCTTAGTAAGTTTGGCAATTTCAACTTACAACTAGAGAACTATCCCTTCTGTTCTTCAGAGTTTGGCTTTGGGCACTGCTAATTCCCTCTTTCTCTTCCAACTTTGGTTTGGATTCACAGTGGATTAAACTGGAATCCATTATTTATTGGGGTAAAAAGGGCTGCCGAGTAGATTAATCACACTGAGAAGAGCAGTTGGTTGGTTGGAGGTGGTTTCTAGGGTCGTTAAACTTGACCACTCCTGGGATAATGGGTGGATGGAGATGCATTTATTTTGTCTACGCTGAGGAAATATACATGGTGAGGGTGTGTGGGACACTGAGCTGTGTCTGGAGACAGTGGAGCATTTAGCGAAACCGCAGGGAAGGTTACACTGGGAAAGCTATGAGCTCATCCTGTTCCAGCAATGCAGCCGCCCTGGTCCAGGAAGACATGAGCTTTTGAGAATCAGCAGCACGAGGGTCTACGTATGTCTCCCGGGGTGCGCAGGCGCGGACACACCCTGCCCGGCACCTCCTCCAGAAATTTCCTGCGATGGCTCTTAGGCCGAGAAGCTAATGGGAAATAGCAAACTGAGACTGTTTTCTAGCTTGTCTTCCTGGGGACTAAACAGAAAAGAGGCTGGAGAAAGAAACGGGGCCAGATTGTGAAGGGCTTTGACAGCCAAGCGTACGAATTTGAATTTAATCTTATAAGTGTGGACCTGCATTGAACTTCAGACCAGGACAGTAGCCTGGAGGGAGGACTGTGCTAGAAAAAATGAGAGCAGAAGTTTCCAGCCTATAGATGTGACATCTTCTGCCGGGTTGTAAAGTCTGGATACTGGGTCTTACCATTTAGCGAGCCTGAAATAGGAACCCGTACCAGACCGAATGTTTACATTTATGAATTTTACTTAATCCTTAACAAAAGCCCTGTTTTTACATGAGGGCACTGAGGCTTAAAATGTGTAGGAGCTGCTTAGCCTCGCTGTGCCTTAGCTCCTAACAGTCAATGTGAACTGACATCTAGTATACACCAGGCACTTTTCGAAGCATCTCATGTACATTAATTTTCACAGCTTTCTGAGGGAGAGACAATGTATTCCCATTTTACAGACGAAGAAAGGGAAATGAAAAGAGTTTAAGTAATCTGCCCCGGTAGCAGACCAAGGATTTGAACTCAGGCTTCCAGTTCCAAAGTCTGTGCTGCTAACCACTGCGCTATCCTGCCTTTCTGGGTAATTCCCCAAGCAGGTTTCCACATTTCTGTCGTAATCATCCCTTGGGTGCTAGTAGGATGGAAAGATGCCAACATGCTTCTCTATTCACCACTAGCCCCAAAGTTTCCTCCAAACCTTTGAGAAAGGAAAAGGTTACTCCTTGTCAGAAAACATTCTGGAATATTCTGCCATGTACACCTTTGGCACTGCAGCATCCCTACAGATCTCTTGCTTTCTCTCCAGGAAAAGAGGTCAGTGCTGGTCATCTTGTGGATCTTGGCCTTTCTGGCGGGGAACACCTTGTATGTCCTCTATACGTTCAGTTCCCAGCAGCTGTACAACAGGTGAGCAGGGGAGTCTGACACACACCGCCCCCCCACCCCGCCGTGGGAAAGTGGGGGAGGGTGTTGTCAGGGTTGGGACACACACCCTTTCACTTGAGAACAATGCAGTAGTGCTTTGTCACGTAGTAACTTTCAAGTTCCACCCTGTCGTGTACACACATGCCTAGAGCAGAATTCTCTCCTAGAAATGCAAGCCACATATTTAATTTTATATTCTCTAATAGCCACACAGTGGCTAGTGGAGGAGGGCTGGCCAGTGAGGGCCTCCAGGATGGGATGGAGACTCGAGCCAAGCTTTCAGAGCACGCACATCTGTTTTGCAAAGGGCAATCGGGCAGTTAGTGCCGAGACATCAGCTCACATCTCACACACTGCATTAGTAGTCTAGCCCAGAGTATCAAGGCTGCTGGAGGCTCTAGGAGGTGGAGTTTCCCAGAACCTCGAATGAATTTCCAGCTCCTGTCACACTCTGGGCATGATCACAGTCACAGACTCAGCCTTCTGCGTCCCCATCAAACCCGGGCTAAGTCAAACTGGCAGCACAGTAAGAGAAAGCTGTTTAGGGAGAAAAGCAACAGAGCTGAGACTCTTCCTGCTTGATATCGATCGGGAGTGTGTTTTGTAGGTAATACCAATAGCTATGATCTTATTTTGCCTTCCCAGTGACCCAGCAGAATACCGATGTCCCCATTTCATAGTGAGGAAACCCTTTTCAATGATCTTAGTCCCGGTAACTAGCCCTTACCAGCAAGCTCATGTCTTTCTAGGATTTAAGTCTGATGACCAATGTCAGAGAGTCTTAGTCCTGCCACTTACCAGCCTTGTGCTTTGTGGCAGATAATGGAACTCTTTGGAGCCTGTCCTAATCTCCTCATTCGTGAAACTGCGACCCAGTTTATTCTTGCCTCACCCACCTGAACAGGCTAATTATTAGGGAGGCCAAATGTTTCAATATGTGAAAAGTACTGGATAAACCACGGACCATTCGACATATCATAATCCTGTAATTAATTTTATTCTTTTATGATGAATTACTATACCTATTGGCAGTGATGGCTAATAAGGAGCAAAACCGATGATAAAATATATCAGTTCATTAATTTTCATAGCGTATGTTCGAAATAAGTAGACCTAGTGATCAATCTGTGGAAAAACACATTTGCTCCACCCCTCCTACAAATACCAAAACAGAAAACATAAGACCGTGCAAAACAAAAAACACTAAGACACTGAACTAAAACCCAGATAGGTGACTTTAACACCTATCTCTGAGATAACTCTGAGATAAAATAGAAAGTGGAAGGCAGATCTTCATTTTATTGCAATCAGAAGCATAACAGAGAAGCAGAGCATGGAAGTCAACTAACCAGCCCGTGATATCCCCAGAAGCATGAGCAGAGGCAGAGGAGGGAGCTCAGGGCTGCTGACCTCTCCCGTGTTATAACGTGAACGGCCACTCAAACTTGGATACAGAGAATCCCACGGAGACAGGACGAGGGTATGGAAGGAGCCTGAGGTATTGTGAGAGATTGCCAACATGGATCGTTGTCATCGATTTTGCCCTATGCTAGTTCTTTAAAGATTTTTATTATAAATAGAAATAGGTTTTTAAAAATAAAAGTAAACAAATAGACCAGTTCATTCCTAGAATACTATAATAAAGAGGCCTCGGTTCACAGTTTTCAACCAGCCCAGCAGAGCATGTCGGAAGCATTCAGAAAGCAACCACTCTGGGCTGTGTGCACTGTTCCCTGCAGGGGACCCATGAAACTCGATCGGGCCTTCGCTCAGAGCCTCCAATCCAGTAGGAAAAAAGCAAGGGAGCAAGTACAGTTTGGGTGCTGGTTCCAGTCCTAAATCCACATTCTAGCTAATATGCTGTGGGCAGGCGACACCACCTCTTAGCACCCTAGTTTCCCCAGCTCAAAATGGAATAATCATAGCACCTACTTCATAGAGCCATTGGGAAGACAAAATAAGTTAGGACACATAAAGTGTGTAGAGTAGGGCCAGTGTGACGTAAAGAACCAAGAGCTTTTAGCTACTACTGTTATATTATGAATAACATCATCATCCTCTGTGGTAGTAGAGAGCAGTGATGCTCAGTGTGGTCCATGGACATGTGCCAGTTTGAGAACAGCTATTGCCAGTTTCCATTGAGGTAAGTACAGAACTTGAGTGTGAGGCGAACTTACCTGGTCACAGTTGGGTAAAACGAGTTAACACTCCGAGTAGCCTTGCTGTCGAGTAAGGATTGAGGGTACTAACTGCAGCTGGGATGCCTGTGTTTCAGTCAACCTCCCCCTCTTAATATATGCAGGACCTTGTGCATATTACTTTATCTTTCTATGCCTCAGTTTCCTCATCTGCAAAATGGGGTAGATAAGGGGGCCTGCCTCAGAGAGTTGCTGTTCTCCTGGCTGCATGGCAGAGTCTGCAATCTCATAGAAGGATGCTTGTTACTGAATCAAATCTCACCAGTACCACTATGAGGGAAGGAATTTAACTGATAATAACACTGGGGCTTACAGAGACAACATTATTTGCCCAATAAATGGAGAAGCTTGGATTCAAATTCAAGTCTGTCTGATACAAACGCCAATTATCATGTAGTGTGACCTTGGGCAACTTACCTCACCTCTCCAAGCTTCAGTGCCTCATTTATAAAGTGGGGAGAAGCAATACTCACTGTGCAGGACAATGAGATACACTGAATAAAGAGCTTAGCACAGTGTCTGGCACATCAGTTTTCTCTACCCTCCTTCTCCCCCGCCCTCCATAGTGTCGGCCTTCCCTCCTTCCTTCTGCTTCCTCTTGTGAAGCGTGTTGTTGACCCATAAAATAACAGGGGGACCTTAACTGATGATACTCTAGGCTAATCTCATCTTTTAACCCTCAGGGGAACTGAGGCTCAGAGAAGTTAAGAGACTCATTTTAACCCTTAAGGGAACTGAGGCTCAGAGAAATTAAGATACTCACCTGAGCACACACAGTAACCAGATTCAGGAACAGGACACATGTCTGACTCCCAGTTCAGCCAGTTCAGTGTTCTTTCTGCAGGTAATACTTCCAAGGCTCCTGGAATCAGTAGAAGGAGCTGCCAAGGGCCAGTGATCCTAAGTGAGCATCTTGACTCTCTGAACCTTCTCCACAGCCTCATATTTCTAAAGCCCAACCTGGAGACCCTAGACTTCTTCGACCTGCTGTGGATCGTGGGGATCGCAGACTTTGTGCTGAAGTACATCACCATCGCCCTCAAGTGCCTGGTCGTGGCCCTGCCCAAGATCATCCTGGCCGTCAAGTCCAAGGTAGATACTGCCTGTGGCCACCAAGGAGCCCCAGTCATGTTGAACATGCAGGGGATTCA